ACGTTGCGGTCCATTTGTTTGTCTAAATTAAAGAGGGAACAATATTTTTAAATGTAACAGGAGGGAAGAAGATGGGCCCGCTATCGACCCCTTGGCACATAACTCCCAACTGTCAGACGAGTTGCTACCATTAAGCAAGTCATTTACCGCTATTAGCTACTCTATTTCAGAACTCCCAACACCGTCCAGGGGAAAAAATATCCTCAACCGCTTCCCGGCGTGTTGTAACAGGCTCTGGTAAAAAAGCGGCGTGTTTCCTGTTTTAAGATGGAGTCGATTTATGTCAATTATGTAAGCAAGGATTTGTGGAACGTGCTCCGGCTACGTTTATTTAACACAAAACGGTGGACATTTTGCAATGCGCTTAACGCTTTATTCTTCAAAGCTCATAATTGACTTACAGACGCAAAAGCCAACGGAACATATATTTTTTTAAGTTCCTGTAGGAGACCCATCTGCCGTGCTCACGCATAATATTCATATATGGCATTCTTACAGCTCTTTATATGGAGCTAAGGAAGACCATCTTCAAATGGTATCAGCAAACTTTCTCTACACGCAATGGACACATACGCCTGTTTAGCTCAAAAAGTTAATGTCAGAGTGTCGTGAATCAATCAAGTCCTATTCAAAAACGTATTGGATCTTTCTTCTAATATTCAGATCCTCAGATGGCCACCTATCAAGATAAGGCTGTGGAAATATATCTCTATTGGTTTTATTTGTTACCAGTTTTACAGTACATCAGTTACTGTTTTAACTTTAAATGTTCAAAAAATAGCAGACGGCGGACATTTTGCAATGCGCTTAACTCCTTAATCTTTAAAGCTCACGATTGGCTTACAGACGCAAAAGCTTTTTTTTAAGTCCCTATAGGACTGATTAAAAACATACTCGGTGAAATGTTATAACAAAACTTCTTAAATACAAATTTCTGAAGTTAACCATCGAATATTAGTTTAAATGTATTTCATTAATTCTTAGGCCTCTTACAGGTAGAAACATACATTTTACAAATGATTTATGTATTATACATAAAATTATTTCATGCCGTTTGAACCTAGAAATGTTATTATATATTAATGTATTTAATGTTACTTAAAAAGCTTCATAACTGCAAAAATTATGCATATCAATTTTTTATTTAATTAATTTTAGAAAATCTAAACTAGGAATTGGATTACATGATAATGGCAGGATCATGTTAAGTGTGCTGTTAACGCGATAATATAATTATACATATTTTTTATCAATATATATAAAATATAGGCAGTTATTTACACTAATAGGATCAATTTCACAAGTCATGATTTTTTGACCATAATTGTAATATTACCATATTTTTATTTACGCAGCTGTGAATATTAATAGCATTTAATGGTACCTGTGTTCGTATACCAATTTATTTTTATTTTTTGGTATTTTTCGCCAAAAAATAGAAATATGTTTGTTTTTTAATGGTACAATGGTGCCAAAAGGATTTCGAACAGTTTCAAAAATTTCAGATTTTTAAGAACAAACAAGATTAAATATAATAACACCATCTTAGTCAGAATAATACACACGTTTGTTACATTTTGGTCTCGAAAACATAATATTCAAATAAATTGTGAAATTTCTCCGTGACATCCGCGAAATGGTGAATATGAAATTTGGTCATTACTGATCATTTCGGTCGTCCTATCCTAGCTGGATTAATGTCAGACGCGTTTCTGAATTTCGCCATCTTCAGTCTGTACCATTGACCAAAATGACTGCTAAGGACCAATTTTTTGAAAATAATAAAATAGGTTTTTGTTGTTGTAAAAATAGAAAAGTGCAATGATTTTTTCACACAATTTTGCCTATACTAATTGACTGATTTATATAAGCTCAACCTAGCATACATATGCATATACGCATGTATACAAAATTAAGTTTATGACTTCTCTTCGACCAGTTCAGGCTTTGGCAGACCGGGGCATGATCTTGGTCTTTTCGTTCTGTCACCGAAGTTAGGCTCCAGGGGCTCCAGAGGGGTCATTTTACTTTTCAGTCACTATTTTAATCAATCAATTAGGATAGAGTATTCGATAATCGTACACCACATTTTACACCTAGTATAACTAATTTAATTGAGGGGTACCCAATATACCATAGCTCCTCTCACACGACACATTCACGCTAATAAATACAATATATATACAAAAAAGGAAGAAGGACTTTGAACTACAAAATTCAGAATCCCACCAGAACCCATCTCAGGCATAATTTTCATTCTTAGTAGAATACATCCACCAAACTTTCTCTACATGCGCTGGACGCCAGGCTTTTGCTCAAAATGTTAGTGGACCGTGTGGCCTATGTCAATACCGCAAGTCCTGTTCAAAAACGGATTAGGATGATCTTTCTTTTAAGATTCAGATTCTCAGATGGCCACCTATGTAGCGTTGGCTGTAGAAATATCTCTCTATTGGTTTTATTTGTGCATTCATTAAGTTTTAGTACATTAATTTCTTTTTTAATTTTAAATGTTCAAAAAATAGGAGAAATAAATTATTTTTAGTTATTCAGGTTCTTCAAATACCAAATTTCTAAACAGATGGAAAATAAGTTTAACTTCGAAACTTTTAAAATTTAATATTTTTTTATATTTAAAAGCAGCCTTGATATATTTTAGAAAATCTAGTATTTTCGTTCAAATCCTAACCAGTTCGAACAGTTTCACGCGCCAACAACCATGTTTATGTAGTTATAACTTCTGATTTTGTATTATGTTCAAAAGATGAAGAAAGTAAATCAGTAATTTTTGTATTTTGTATCAGTAATTTTAAGCTGTTAGTGCAAAAATCAGGGATAAGGCGAATTTAAAAACAATCACCTAGTTAAATCGTCAAGCTTTCGAGGAATAAAACCCCTTTATCAGTACTTTGTAACTATTATTAATATTTGAAAGAATAACAAAAATAACCGTCACCTTACAAAACTGTAACTTGGTTTCAAGCATAGTAAATTTCCTAGTTGATAGTGTGCTTATTGCTTAAGGTTTAAAGATACAGCCTAACCCCCGATTTTTTTTTCTTATAAAAGCTATACTCAGACAAGTAGTAGATTTTCTAAAATCTAAAAAACAATTTAGATACAGACAAATCGTTTAAATAAATAGCAGGCAGTTTTAATTAAATCGTTATGTTTTTGTATCTTGGTTCGTTGATCTGTATGGTTTTGTGAAGAACATAAATGAAATATATTGAGTGTAGCAGATGATTTTATGTTTAATTACTAATAAAAACAAACAATATTCTTCGCATGTTTATTGGAATTTTATTGCCGCATGTCTGAAGCATGTGTGAAATGACAAAAATTAATATTTAAAAAGTTTTTTGAAAAATATTTATCAATACAACGCCCCTTTTTCCGTTCAGACAAACATCAAACCTAATGACACCAATGGAAAATATTAGACACTAAAAGGATAAATAGGATAACAGAAAGGATAGAAAGAAGTGTCCGTCAAGATTCAACCGTCGTAAAATATTACATTTCCGTATATTATTTTGTTATCTACATATTATAAGGAAAAATTTAAACAGTTTTGTAATATAAGAAAAATAAATATTATCTAAGGACTATTAAAATGTGTTCTCATGCTTTGTTTACACGATTATGGTATGTTGTTCTTTTAGAAAATATGTTTCTCTTTCCTATTAAACACTGTTTTATTACACACGAATTATTTTTTTACGAAAAAGCGTTCTGTCTGACGAGTTCAAAAAGTTATTATTTTAACGATAATTGTTTTCCTTCTGATGTAATAATCTTCTAGGTAAACGCCTTTCAGAGAAATATTGTGTGTAATTAATTATTTATTATGTATTATTTCAGTTTTTTCGAACGGAAAAATCCTTTGACTTACTTTTAAAAGATACAGTTTATAATTATTCGTACAACAATTCAACAAAGGTATAAAATAGTAAAGTAAGAAGTATAAGGTAATAAACAAACAAAAACACAAATTGAGTACTCGCCGGAAATACTAAACAGGTTGTATTTGCTAATAGTATTTCCATAATAAATTTAATTTAATATCTTGCCCCTTAAATAAAATAAAAAAATATAAAACTATTTGCAGATTTGTACAGGAGAATTTCAATCTTTTCTTGAAGGATCGCGATATTAATTTGAAAACTGCAGAAATCAATTTTGTTGGCTGAATCTTGATTCTGATATTCTAGGCTTAGAATGACAATGAAACATTTTACAATCAACCATTATCTATATGTGAAAAGTAATTTTTGCGAAAACGAAAGTGATCCATATTGAAAAAGAAAGTAGTGTTATTCCGACTGAGTGGGCCGCGGGACCATTTTCGTATTAATTATGTGTATTTGCCGGAATCGTTTAAGAACTGTATCTACTTAAATTAAACCATCTAATAATAAATTATAATAATAAAAAAAACATGAAAGTAGATTTTGGATAATTCATGCTAAAGCTTGGTCAACCTGGTTCTTATAAAGGCTCAAGTTTATATGGCGCGGAAGGAAGGATATATAACCAGAAGCATCAAAACTTTTGGATTTGACCTATTTTGTTATATTTAACCAGGTCTAAACATACATGTTTTTAAAGCCTTCTTGAGGTTCAAGACAGAAAACAACCGTTTTTAAAGAATCAACCACAATAACTAATTCATAATTTTTTTGTAAAGTTTTCAGAAGACGAATTCGGTAGTGGTTCGGTTTTAGAAATCAAAATTTTGTAAAAACTTCTAACGATTAAGGGTATTAACATACTTTCCGGCTACAAGATAAACAAAGATATTTAAGGAATCACATAATAACTAAACGTAGAGCAAAATATATACAAAGGGGCGTTGTAGAGTGCGGAAAATAAATTTGGTATTGATTAAATTTTTGGAATATGAAACTGTTGCAAAAAAATGATAATAATGAATATAACGGAGGTACGCGGTTGTTTGAGACTGAAAAATAATGATATTAATATGAAAATGTAAATACCTGGCGATGAGGATAACGGTCCGTGGAAGGATGGGAAAACTGGCGCTCCAGGGAAATGGTGAACCGGCCAAGGCGCGGAATGTGGCGGGAGTCCGCTGGCCGCGGAATACGCCGCTGCCGCTGCTGCTGCTGCCGCAAAGGCGGTGAAAGGCGTCGGCCGGATCGGGCCAGACGCCTGCTGATTCTGCCCGAGCATAAACCGTGCCAGGCTGTGCTGCTGCGACACTGGCGGGTACTGGGGCTGTTCCTGCTTCTCTTCTTCAACGTCCACATCCTCCTCGGTCGACTCCAGCTCTTCCTCGCTCTGCGACTCCGGGACGGGACTCCTCCTCGGCCTGGTGTCGGCGAGGAGAGCGGCGACGCTGAAACTGATGCCGGACTTCGGGGAGCTCCTTTCAGGACTCTTCCCTTCTTCCATCCTCGAGATCTTGAGCACTGTCATACTTGCTGAAGATGCCAGCATAAGTCAGACGCGGATTCACTTTCGCATATCACGGCCACCTTCTCTCGGTTGGATCGGACGTCGACTGACTTGCCCGGCGAGTTGTGGCCGTACCTTTCCCCTCGTTCGATTCTCCCACTTTCAAACCGGCTCGCCACGCCTCCGGCTCCTCCCATTTTCCCCTCCAAAACCCACCCTATAAATTTACTTTTTCACCCTTAATTATCAAGATTCAGTGTCCCCCTTGATGTCTTTGTTCCAGGCCCCTTTGTCTGCCGGATAAATTGACAAGGGTTTGTTAGTCGGTTCGCCGACCAGCCTGTAATGAACATGTCAGACTCAGCGCTGTTTTTCAACCAAATATATTATATACATACACATATCTGCCCCTCCTATTCCTGCGATTGTTTGGATCGGCTCATTCAGTGAAACTTCCTCATTAATGTAGCCCCAGGTTGAATTGAATTGCTCCCGTTTGCCATAAATTACTCAACAATTAGCCGACTGTTCGTACAGTTTCGATTTTCGAAAATCACCCCGGCCAATTTCACTTTTATACGAAAAAGTAATCAAATCAAAACAAATCGTTTGCAGCACACACGAGCTGGTCGGTAATATCCGAAAACCATTTTCCTATTATCTAAAAATATTAGTGTATTGGGTACATTATTCGGCACATAAGAAAAATAATGCACTACCTGCTTAAATGAATTATAAAGTCACTTTTATATACATAGTTTCAATTAATTATTCTTTTTATGTTAGGTTTTGGTTGAGTCGAAAAAGTTAGTGACATGAGCGGGATTCGAACCCACGACCTTCGATTCAATACGCCGCTGCTCTAACCACTTGCGCCATCGTGACTTCGATCCACTCGGACACTCATCGTCTCAACTTACAACCTTTTCGAATTTTTCCTCTTTTTTGCCATTTTTGAAAGAAAAGAAAAAAAAAGGTTGCGACGAGGAGTTGGCTTCCCAGTGGATCGAAGTCACTCACGATAGCTGAAGTGGTTAGATCAGGGGCGTATGGAGCCGAAGGTCGTGGGTTCGAATCCCAATCGTGACGCTAACTTTTTCGCCTCAACCAAGACCTTACATAAAAAGAATAATTAATTGAAATAATTAATATGGTCAATTAGATCACAAAACAATTGGATTAATATACAACCCTAACCATCCCTAACCATTCTCAATTAATAATTATCGTGACATAAAATCAACGCATGTTTCTATAACAAGAAATTGGGTTGTGCTATGAAAGTCAGTGGGATCTGCCTAAATTTTATACCTACCTTCGCTCGCTCATACTGACTCCCTGTACGAACATTTCACATCCCATCAGATTCGAAGTTGTGTGAACCATGTTGCGGTCTGCAGTGTATACTGAATAAAGAATGAGACCGAGGATGATGCCTTGCGGAACACCCGATTTGGGATGGTGAATAGGAGAGAAATATTTTACGCGATTCGTTCTTGAAAGTACCTATGGGACAGATAGGATTTAGGATGAGGTAATAAGTGAATGGAAGGATTTATTATATTTAAAAAAAATTGGTGTTAAAATCAACCTTTTCTTTACAAATATAACCTTTTTTTTAACTGCTTTTTAAAGTACATATTTTTATTTCATTGCAACCGATAAAGTATTCTTCGAGGTACATCCAACTTTTTGATATATGCTCCCCTCTAATATCAACCACGAGTGGCTTTGCTAGATTAAAAAATCCTTAAGTGAAAATGAGCAAAATTTACAAAATTAACGCAAAAACAATGAATAATAACGATTAGCGATAAAGAACGAAAAATGTATAAAGTAGAAAATTTAATTAAAATTACAGAAGAGCTTCAGACTGCCTTGCGCTTTCTTAATACATATCCCTGCTTTTTCTTTGATAAAGACCACGTTATTGGTCATTCATCAACCAGTCATACACTTTTAATTAAATTGAAATAAACTTAATTATCATTTTTAAGGTAACCCGAAAGGTGAGCGTGGGGGCCAAGGATATGACCTCAGGTGATCTTACCGATAGGCATATCGGTCCACCAAATGCAAGAAAATATTTCATTACTGTAATTGTGAGCAGGACATCCTTCAAGCTGGAACCAAGTAGCATGGGAAATATACTCAAAATTTTCAAAGATTCTCAATCGATCAATGGGGAACAATTATTACATGAAGGTTCAATTACTGATAGGTCAAATTTCTTAGATAGTGGAATTTTTTACTAGCTAGAAAGGTTATCTGAGCCGTTAACTTGGACAAGTCTTGTCATTTACATAATAATAATATTTATATTACTTTTATTAAAATCCGATTTTTGTTTTAATTTGAAAAATTGTGTGGCTGTTGAATATCTTTTTTATTTGAAATAGGGACAAATAAATGAGTTGATTTTTTAAAAATCAGGAAATTAGATCTTTAGAAACACTAATTGTTCAATATTCATTTGGATATAGACAATGACGTTAATTAAGAGATAAAGGAAGTCATATAAAACATGTGAAACATGTGCCATATCCAGGTCAATCTGAACACACGAACATTCAAAACAATTATTTTTATTAGTAATGAGTTTTTATTATTTTTTATGCAAAGAAGTTTGAAAGAAAGACTATCTTCTTTATTTATTTACACCTGCGTCAATTGTTGCGCTTAAGTAAATTTGATAGCATTTTACAGCGTAAAACAAAGCAAAATTAACACAAAAGTATACATAAAACAGAAAAAAGAGGAACTATTCATTAATAGTCACTCGTATATATTAGGAGTAATCACATTCTCTGTTATTCACTGTCATTTAGGAGGTCGCGAGGCTATCGACGCTTCAGCCGTCGGGGAGGATTATTTGGATGGGTGAGGGATGGAAAGTTTCTGACATGAGGGTTGTGACTGGATAATTGTTTGTGAAACTTTTTTTAGCTGTTTTTCCCTACTTCAAGGATACGTTGTATGTTAAGGTCATTGTGAATGGTAAGATTTGATATATAGAAATGGTCATTGACGATGGTTCCGAAGGATTTTTAATTCTAGGGATTGGATACGTTGTAGGTTGGAATCTTTTTGTTGAACCCCAAAGTTCGATGCCGTATATCCAAACGGGTCTCAAAATGGTTATATAAATGATTCGTTTGTAAAAACAGTTTTGACATATCCAGCAATGTTTTGAGAAGTCTGGTTCGTCAGCATAGGTCTTCTCATTTGAGTCGGGTGTGAGGGTTACATGTAACTGGTTTTTCAATGCCCAATGTCAACCCAGGGTAGAGGAACACATTAGTTGGTAGGAGAGGTACACTATTGCTATAGATGGGAGCAGCGTTTATTCTCCGAAGAGTGAAGGTGACATGTTCACTTTTTTCTATGTTTAAAGTTTATTAAATCAATGCTCAAGGAATGTGTCTTGGCTTTGTAGGTTTCTGGTTTAAATGACATGGAATTTGACATGGAACAAAGGATGGCGGTATCATCAGCACAAGTGGTAAAGCGGGGAACACACTTACCCGACGCAACGCTATGCGACGCTACCCGACGCCTTGCCACGTTTTGGTCGGGTGTGCACATCTATGCGACGTCAAGCGCACGCCACGTACACAGCGTGTATCACATCAGTATCGCAATCGCAACGCCTCTTTCGTTTTTAATGCACTATTGTGAGCAAAACATTGTAATAAATTGTTAGTTAAATTCATTATATCAAAAAATGGTTCGTTTAATTTCGTTTACATTAAAATAGGAATGTTGTAATTATTATAACGACAAAATTACATATACTAAGTTTGAAATAAACTACAAAAATATGAGTATCCTGTTCTGACGCTACTCGGCGAAAATGGCGCAATTTTACAAGCAAAACCATTAAATAAATTGTAAGTTAAATTTTATGAGCAAAACCGTGTAATAAATTGTTAGTTAAATTCATTATATCAAAAACTGGCATTCCGGTGTTTTGATCAATTTTCTACCAAACCATTAAAGTTAATTTTTTTAAATAAAAACGAATGAATTTTTGATTTCGTTTAATTTCGTTTACATTAAAATAAGAATGTTGTAATTAATATAACGACAAAATTACATATACTAAGTTTGAAATAAACTATAAAAATTTGAGTATACTGTTCTGACGCTACTCGACGAAAATGGCGTAATTTTATAAGCAAAACCATTAAATAAATTGTTAGTTAAATTTTATGAGCAAAACCGTGTAATAAATTGTTTTTTTAAATTCATTATATTAAAAAATGGTATTCCGGTGTTTTGATCAATTTTCTACCAATCCATTAAAATTAATTATTTTTTAAAAATAAAAACTAATGAAGTTTTGATCTCTTTTAATTTGGTTTACATTAAAATAGAAATGTTGGAATTCATATAACGACAAAATTACATATACTAAGTTTGAAATAAACTACAAAAAATATGAGTATCCTGTTCTGACGCTATCGACGAAGATGGTGTAATTGTATGAGCAAAACCATAATATAAATTATTAGTTAAATTTTATGAACAAAAACATGAAATAAATTGTTAGTTAAATTTAATGAGCAAAACAAAAATATGAGTATCCTGTTCTGACGCTATCGACGAAGATGGTGTAATTGTATGAGCAAAACCATAATATAAATTATTAGTTAAATTTTATGAACAAAAACATGAAATAAATTGTTAGTTAAATTTAATGAGCAAAACCATGTAATAAATTGTTATTTAAATTCATTATATCAAAACATGGTATTCCGGTGTTTTGATCAATTTTCTACCAAACCATTAAAATTAATTAGTTTTTAAAAATAAAAACTAATGAATTTTTGATCTCCTTTTATTTGCTTTATATTAAAACATGAATGTTGTAATTAATATGACAACAAAATTACATATACTAAGTTTGAAATAAACTACAAAAATATGAGTATCCTGTTCTGACGCTACTCGACGAAAATTGTGTAATTTTATGAGCAAAACCATGAAATAAATTGTTAGTTAAATTGTTTGAGCAAAACCGTGTAATACATTGTAATAATAAATTTTTAAATTCATTACACTAAAAAATGTTATTCCGGTGTTTTGATCAATTTTCTACCAAACCATTAAAATTAATTATTTTTTAAATA